AGAATGCTTTAGGCTTTGTAATAACTCAAACACAATATCCTCTCCTCCATGGAGGAGTGAGGTGTGGGATTTCTGAGTGGAAGAACATAAGCACTACAAATGAGATATTTGCAGTAATTCCTCCAAAAACAGCTATCCACACTACATAATATTTCCCCTTAAACCAGAAGTCTGCCTTGAATAAATGGAAGAAAACTACATTAGCAAAGAGAAGTCATATCTACAAACTACATGTAAATTGGAACTTCATTAGGGGAGCATGTAAAGAAGCTTTTGGAAGGTAATTTTGCTGCAAACTAGTTTTCGCAAGAATGAAGTAAAGATTTCAAAAGCATGATTCCTCTAAGTAATTCAAATTATCTAGTCTACCTGATACTAAGTCTTCCCACAGAGATTACAAAGCACTTAAATTTTTACTTTGTTACAGAAATCCCCAAGGAAGGTTTCAATCCACTTACTTACAAGTGTTCTCACGCTGCTGTGAGAGGAAAGAATTGGTGCCAGGAGTTATCAAAAACACCAGCACAGCTAGAGTTAAACGCGTTTTATAGTATTGCCTCTACATCATTAAGCTTTTTGTTCAGAAATTTACCACTGAGTCACAATAAAAACCCCACTCTGGACTAAAATTTGGTCTACAAGAGTTCAGCCAAGAAAAAATATTTCCTGGCGCTGTGCCCCCTTCTTTCTTCTAGCACTGAAATCAAAAAGATGCTAAGTGCTCCATGTTTTCCAAGCACAAATGTGCTCCTATTACTCAGAAAATGACTTTAATTTTAAAATTAAATGGTGCAGGCTTATAGCCTAGACTGTTGATTATGTTTTAAGTATCAAGCGAGCTCCACAGCACTGGCAGCCACAGGCTACATGAGCTGCCCAGCCACCACTTAGAGACATGCAAACTCCCCTAGGACATCTCCCATTTTGTAGCAGTCCAAAGTCTAGTTTTCATTTAGGCAAAACTCCCACTGGCACACATAGGGGAATTTTATAGCAGGCATCATTAAGGAAGGTATTTCTCACTCAGGCTGCAGTTTCTGTCCTGGCCCCATAGCAAGTGAGACCCCCGTTTTGCAGCGTGGTAACATACTGTGGGGACACAAAAGTGCTCGAACATCTCATCCCTCACGCAGCCCAGCAGCAGCACTTAGCGGTGCGGCTGTGTTTTCATCTGACCTGACAAAAAGCCACACCAGGCTCGTCTTGTTGCAGCATTTTCCCACAATATGGCTCCAGGGTAGCTGAAAGGGCTATGGATGAGGCAGAGGAAAGCCGGCCTGGTTTCAGGCGAAACCATTTCTAGCTGGGGTTTTGAACTTACATACAAGGGGCTTTGTGGAGTTGTCCTCTGTGTGCTGAAGCTCGAGCAGCTACAAACACACCAACATTAAAACAAATAATCAGAAAAAAGATGCAGAGGAGGAAGCCTTTGTGGAATAAAAAGGTCAAGGAATGAATCTTCTTAGAAGCTCTCTTGCAAGTGCTGTTGATGCTTGGAAATCCAGGCCTTCTGAGGAAAGGGGAAGCTTTGCCTTTGGTGTTTCTAAGTTTCCAGGCAAGGTCATCACTTTTCTGTCTTCCAGGTCCTGCAGCTTGTACATGCCTGCAAAATTCCTGCAGGTCCCAGAGGCTGCATGAGGGACCCATACACCACCTTGTGCAGAGCAGGAGGAGAGAGGCAGCACAGAAATTGTCAGAAAATACATCAATGTGGCAAAGTGGGCAAACATAATGTCCTGGGTTCAGCAGTAGCAGTCATGTTTTTTCCTTTGTGTTAACTGGTGCAGTGCTGTGTTTTGACTTCTAGTTTTGAGAACAGCGTTGGTGAAGCCAATGTTGTCGGTTGTTGCTAAGTGATGTTTACCCTGACCAAGGACTCTGTGAGGCTCATGCTCTGCCAGGGAGGAGGGGAAGCTGTGAGGAAGCAGAGATGGGGCGCCTGACCCGGGCTAGCCGGGGAGGTATTCCATACCACAGCACGTCATGCCCGGGGTGGGGGGTAACTGGGAGTTACCCGGAAGGACAGGAGCTTCCGGGTGGAACTCGTTTTCTTGGCCGGTGGTATCGTATTCTCTTCCCTTGTTATTTTCCCTTATCATTGTTTTAGCTGATAGTAGCGGTGGTGATTTGTTGCTGGACTGTTCTTGTCTCAACCCGTAGGAGTTGCACTCTCTCCATCCTCCTCCCCGTTCCTCCGGGAGCGGGGAAGGGGAGAGCCCCGGTGCAGGGAGGGGGGGGAGACGAACACGGACCTTGATTGTTGTCAGCTCGGCACCACTCACTGGGAGTGAGTGAACAAGTTACCTGACTGGGTTTAAACCACGACACATCTGCATTTAGTTTCTTCCTTTTCTTAGTTGCATCTTGCTGCCTGCGTCTAAATCAAGGCTAGCTATGCGACTGATCAATAGCAGACCAGCAGAAAAAGTGACATACAAAGGCTCTCCCAATGGCCTCCCTTCAAAGCAGTTGGCAGTCAACCAGGAGAAAAAGTTGCTCACCAGCTTCTCTGGGTCTGGTGCATAAAGGAGTCTCCCAACTCAGACCGTGGCCTCAAGAAAGACTAAGATTGGCTATGTTGTATTAGTAATTGAGGGAATCACACAGCTAGAGGGCTAGCTACCTTCACATGTGACATCCGTGACCTCTTGCAGAAACGGGGTTGCATTCAGAGAGCAAGGAAAGTATCTTTAGTTTACTTCCAGTGTTCCAGTCTTGCTTTTACTCCAGTATGTTATATTTGGCACGGTTGTTTCTGTAGGAGAGCTACTCTCTAACAACTGTCATTGCATAGAAGAAGCAAACCTCCTGGGAGTTTAAGACAGTTTTTATTTAGACCCACATTTTGTTATGATACCAAGTTTAGCCTCAGCCATACTGCATACTGAAATCCTGGTGTCTGCGGCTTCTCATGAGCTAAAGGTCTGTGTTTCTTTGTTTTTGCTGCATCTCATAGCACCACGGCCCAATCCAAATCTACTGCAGCTGAGACACATGGAGATGGAGAGGGTGGTCTCAAAGCAAGCATGATGTATATGCTGGTGGGGACAAGAAACACCGTGTAGTTGTCAGCAGAGAAAGAGAGGCTGGTCTTGGTGCAGTGATGTTTGGGATGGAAGGTAGGGAGATCTATTTAACTTCTTTGCTATCTCTTGCTGGTAAAGGTTTAAGTGTTGTTTCTGGCTGCCACACTGACGTTCATTACCCTGGGTTCTCTTTCTGAAGTGAAAAGATTTTCTCTCAGAGAAAGTCTCTAAACCTTTTTAGCTTGGGATGACGTTATGTTTTAAATTACAACACAAATACGGGCATGCACATATGCACCAACTCATACTGTATCTGCAGCAGATTAGTGTATGGCACTGCATAATTTTACTTTTCCACCACAGCACCTATTAAATCATGGGTTTGCTTAAAAATAAAAAAGGAAATAAAATATAACTCATCCAACTTGTAAGTACAACACCCTGAGCTGTCCTGTTGGAACATCTTCCATTCAGCTGGAGTTTGGAAGGCATTAAGTGAGGTAGACCTTAGAATCTAACCCCTCAGAAACTCTGACAACTCAGAACATTGCACTATCTCTGTTATTATTCCAAAACATCAGTTTGCACACTCCAAAACCATTTAAGAAATACTGATTTGATCCTACTCTGCCACATTTTTGCAACTGCCATTTTTTACTGTGAATGTTAATGCACTTAGTGGGACAATGGGGTGTTTTGTGGCTGTAAAGAACAATATTTTTCCTCGTAAATTTCAGGAATGGCTTCTTTCAGCCATTCTGCTCTAGCTGTTTCATGTAACAAATAATCTTTGCAGTAGGAGAATTGGGTTCGTCTTGCAGATTTGTTTATTTTTATAACTAGAAAATAATAGCAAACAGTTTTCCCTGTGTGTCAGTGCTTTTATTCCAGTCAAGGTTGATGCAAATATTTATTGAGGAGAAATGCAAGAATCAGCCTGCATAAGAAACCCTGCTGCTGAGCACAAGTTTTGGGGTGCCATTCTGGTGTAGCACAGTCGTGCTAAGCAGTCCTCATGTTTATCTAACATGGCACGGCCTGGGTGGGGGCTCTCCCAAGGCACAGACCTTCATATGGGCATGTACCACCTTCCTCTGCCTCCACTGCAGGGGCAGAGGGAAATGATGGCTTGTCCAGAGCAAAGCAACACATCCCATTGATATGCCTTTCATCAGTGGTTTGTTCAGGTCTGCAAATCCATGTCAGTGCTGCACATTAGAACAAGCCAGCCACTGGTCTAAATCAGACCAACAGGATGAATCTTGCTGTAACAGGGTTGGGGTAGTATCCAAGCTGACCATGAAACCTCTCCTTCACATGAATAAATGAGTGTGTATGCATACACCCATGTGCACACACTCACACATGGACACATATGTTCCTTAGGCCCTGCAGACGATCAGCCAGCACTTGAGTTTTGGCTGGTGGGGCTTGGTAGGAGACCAGTGAAAGCTCTTATGGCTGAGATGAAAACCATGCATGATGCTACAGCTGGAGAAGCTGTTTGGAATAGCATGACTGCTCCCAGAATAGTAGTTTCTCTAACATAGCTACAAGAAACACATCAGGCTCCAAACAGCTTCTTTTTTAAGCTTGGATCTAAGGGGGTGGAGGTGGGGATGAGGAGTGCAGGGGTGACAGTGGCAAGCAGGCATTTGTTTGAAGGAAAAGTATAAATCAGCTAAGTGCTTGAAGACTTAGAGCATAAAGTCTTGGCAATATTGTCACTTTCCCCAAATCACTCCAAGGAACATTATGATGTCAGGATTCTGGTGTCTTTAACAATAGAGAAACAGCACAATGCTTAAGGTTACAGCATGGCATTCGGTAACAGAATAGCAATAAATATGACCCTATCTGGATATATATGAAATAATTGCATTTTTGAAGGGTTGCAGTTGCTCCTACATTATCAAATACCCCAGCTATGTGATAGGACATGGAGGCTCTAACATTACGAAAACACCATTACAGTTTGCAGTAATGTTTCTTTATTTTTAAGAAATGTCCCTAGCTGTTCATATTCATAGTATGGCTTATTGTGTTATATATTCACAGACATTTAATGCCCCTGGGATTATTTGGGTGGTTATGTTTTTCTCTGCTTCCTTAAAGCTTCACGGACCTTCCCAAAGTTCTAGTGCAGTTTGGTGAGTGCAGTTCAGCATGTTCCAGCTCTTCTATGGAAAGAAAGGAAAGGTCTTGCAGTTACACTCACACATTTAGTTTTCTTAGGCATCATATGGTTTCCTACCCTCTTGACAGCTTAGTTCTCCAGCCTACAGCTCTCATCACGTGCAGAAAGTACAATCCAATTACTTCTTCCCTGTGGAGAAGATGCAGAGAGTCAGCAGTGATAGATAGATCCCTGTAGGGCAGAAAGACCCATCCTCTGCAAAATAATGAACCCTGTAGCTAAAAGAAAAAAAGACAGAGAGAGAAAAAATACCCTTTAAAAAACACAGCTTCACAACTGAGAGCCCACAGCCCTGAATGAGCTGAAGTTGAAAGTTCATGTAATCACTGCTTCAGGCTCTCTTCAGAGTCAGAGGGATCTCAGTTTACGCACTAGTTATACATTTAATCTCGCTTTAGTGGTTGCAATCAAGTCAAAAGTTTTTACTGTTTGGGAGGTTTTTTGAGGGGAGGCTGATACCACGTGTGGGGAGAGAGGGCTTGCTTCCATCCCACAGACCTGAAATAATCAGTACTCCAGTGCGAGCTTTGCTTTGTTCAGATGCACTGTAGGCCAAAACTTCTTTCATAGTCCTGGACTTCTGTTCTGGATATTCTTCAGAGGTGTGAGCATGGACATTTCTGAAGCAAGTGCTGACATCAATCACAGCAGCCGTAGAGCTAGTGATCTGATTTTCAAAGTGATGAAATGAATGCTGCTGGTGCTTTTTCACCTCTGAACATCAGACAGTGTGCTCACACCCTTCTCTGGATGGAGGCATTTGATATTAGCCACTGTTTTGAAAATCGTCCCCTCTTGCTATCTTATGAACATGGAGGCAAAAAACTAAGCACTGCAACCCTTTGCAATAAGAAGCAGCGAATGTCCACTTACCACTCCTGCAACATAAACACATTAGTTATAAACACAGGTAATTGACTGTCTTTGATGTCATTGCATCAATTTCTTTGCCAGCTGTGGAAATCAGTATATTTGGGGATCTTAATGGAAGCAGTGCCATTTGGATATGTGTAAAATCACAGCTCTTGCAAAACATTCTTCTAAATGTAGATCTTGGAGAGCTTCTCCCCCTCCCAAAATCCAATATGGCCAACCCAAAATTCAAACTTCTTTCACTATGTGGCAGAGCATGGCTTAGAAAATCTTTCCAATGCTGTTTGTCCACTTTGTAGATTCAGCACTTACACTTTCTCCACTTACTGAGGAGCCTGAACTTTACCACCACAAATGAAAGAACAGACACTTTAGAGTCAAGTACCCACTTCACATTGCACAGGAACTGGTGCAATTCAGAAGAAGCAGTGCACACCGAGTGCTGCCTGCATTATCTGGTCGGAGAAGAAACTATTACCCCATGTGATGTATAATGACCTTAGCAAAGCCTGGGCTGGGTGATGGCAGCCCTGCTCCCACGGACAAGCATCTGCATCTGCAATAGTTTCACAGAAGCCAGTGGGTGGCAGAATCAGACTCTGACTGTAGTCACCTCTTCCCAGGTGACCTGCACATCAGAAATGTTTTTTTTTTTTTTTTAATGAAGAACCTGGCAAACGCATCTTAAATACATGCAGAAATATTTTTCATCCTGGCCATACCGAGTTTAAGCCATGGAGGGGAACTTCTGTGGGCTGCAGAACAAGTGGGTAATTTTCAAAAGCCTCTGCCCTCTCTTCATAATCTGATGCCTAACAAGGGGTGAGTTTATTAGCCTTTCCACCTGTGAGGCATAAGCATCTGTTTCCATCCAGCATGGACAAACTGAATTTCCTCAAAGGCTGCTAAACCTTCTGTCAAAAGTTATCAGCAGGTCAGCAGGACCAAACTCTGATGTGGGGCTTGTGGAAGGAGTAACCTGCCACACACACCCCCTCACCCAGGGCTGCATAAACTGCATTTTTTAGGAATTCAGATTCAAAACATGTTTGACTTTTGCCTTCTTTATATTATGCGTTTCATTCAGCTGTGCTTCAGTCACTGTTCGCCAGCCTTCCCTGCTCTTGTGAGGCTGGAGAAGTCATAAATATGGCAGCTCCCTTTGAGTGTTAATGCTGGATGCTGTCCATGACTGCTGAGCTGCAATGTGCAAGCCAGCGATACTACAAAGTGAGAGTTTATATTCCTTCCCCGTTTCATATTCTTAGTGTATAAATCCACAGAGCAGAAGAAATTTACAGTGGAGTGAGTGGTCATGGGGAAAGTAATCTACATATAAAGCAGGGGCAAATACCTTTTTCTTCCTGGGACTCCTGTTGGGAAGTTTCACACCAGGCTGAACGAAACCTTCAACCACTGGTGGTTTTTCTTGTGCCTGAGTTAAGGGCATGGGGATAACTGACAATTTTTATCCATTATTCATTTAGTAATGGCTCTGGTGAGCAACTGAATGTCATATGTTTTTCACTTACATGAAATGCAACAGACTCTTTTCTTCTACAACTCTATGATTCTTCAAGCCTGCCTGCACGGGGGAAATTATCTAAGCTGTTTTACAATTGGCATAGCTTAAACTGTTTGAGACTTGCAGCTTAAGGTAAGTGATCAGTTTTTACTGATGTGGTTTTAGACTGTGGCCTGAACTACACCTACTGTGGCCTAACAACACCTACTAGAAACTGAATAATTATACCACTGCTTAATCCAGAAATCATAGAATCATGGAATGGTTTGGGTTGGAAGGGACCTTAAAGCTCATCCAGTTCCAAACCTCTGCCATGGGCAGGGACACCTTCCACTAAACCAGGTTGCTCAAAGCTGCATGCAGCCTGGCTTTGAGCACTGCCAGGGGTGGAGTATCCACAACGAATATGTTGGCTTATTGAAATACACAATATCTGTCTCCCTTGGACTGAAACGACTTCTACTCCCCCAATTTCTCATTCTCTCTTGAAAGGACTAGTTTCAGAGGGAGATTAGAGTCTTTCTTCCTTTGTTTTCCTAACCTCCTTTAAACCTGGCATTTTTAGTCAATGTATCACTGACAAACCCAGATGAGATTTTCAATGAAGCCTTTACTGACAGAATCAAAATTACATGAAGTATTGCATTTTGAGGCACTGATCTGTGTGCAGTCAAGAAAAGGTAAATTCTGATCCGGCCAGGTGAAACACTCCCAGTTAAATCACATCATTTTCAAGGCTCTGTGCAACCTTTGTGCGCCAATGAAACTGAGGGGCTGGAAAGAGAAAAATTCATTTTCTGGGTCTAAGAGGAAGGATGTGAATTAAATCACAGCTGAAAATGTGGAGCAGAAAACCTCAAGAGACAGAGATGGTAGATCCTTTGCTGAAGGAAGGTGGCTGAGGAGGAAGAAGGGAGGTGCTACACAGAAGAACATTCATCTCTGCATTCAAGACCTCTTGGTCCTGACATGAGAAGCATCTGAGTCATTGGATGTGGTGAATTAAAAATTATCCCATAGGCACCAAGGCACATTTTCTGAAGACTAGCGAGATTTGCTGAATTTCAGCCGGAGTCACATGCTTCACTATTTTAGACAGTCTCCAAAAATAGCAGAAGCAAGGTGGGATGTTCCAGCATGAGTCCAAGTCCTTGTGCAAGAACGCTTCCCTCAGAGTGGGATGATTTCATGCCTCAAGGCAAAGTACTGGCCAGGTAAATGTAGCCAAGATCATGTCCAAAGGGTCATGGTCAGTTAGATGTGTTCAGCCTGCATCCCAAGAGCATCAGAAGACCATGCTTTTCCTGCGGCTCCTGTCTCTTCCCCCTATTGGAGTTCTCACACAGAGGGGCAGGGGCTGGGCTTTGCAACATCACAGTATCACAGTATCACAGTATGTTAGAGATTGGAAGGGACCTCGAAAGATCATCTAGTCCAATCCCCCTGCCGGAGCAGGAACACCTAGATAATGTTACACAGGAATGCGTCCAGGCGGGTTTTGAATGTCTCCAGGGAAGGAGACTCCACAACCTCCCTGGGCAGCCTGTTCCAGTGTTCCGTCACCCTCACTGAGAAGAAGTTTCTTCTCAAGTTTAAGTGGAACCTCTTGTGTTCCAGTTTGTACCCATTACCCCTTGTCCTATCATTGTTTGCCACTGAGTAGAGCCTGGCTCCGTCCTCGTGACACTCCCCCTTTATATATTTATAGACACTGATAAGGTCACCCCTCAGTCTCCTTTTCTCCAAACTATAGAGACCCAGCTCCCTCAGTCTTTCCTCATAAGGGAGATGTTCCACTCCCTTAATCATCTTTGTTGCCCTGCGCTGGACTCTCTCCAGCAGCTCCCTGTCCTTCTTGAACTGAGGGGCCCAGAACTGGACACAATACTCCAGATGCGGTCTCACCAGGGCAGAGTAGAGGGGAAGGAGGACCTCTCTCGACCTACTAACCACCGCCCTTCTAATACACCCCAGGATGCCATTGGCCTTCTTAGCCACAAGGGCACAGTGTTGGCTCATGGTCATCCTGTCGTCCACTAGTACCCCCAGGTCCCTCTCCCCTACACTGCTCTCTAACAGGTCGTTCCCCAACCTATACTGGAACCTGGGGTTGTTCCTGCCCAGATGCAGGACTCTACACTTTCCCTTGTTATATTTCATCAAGTTACTCCCTGCCCAACTCTCCAGCCTATCCAGGTCTTGCTGGATGGCAGCACAGCCTTCTGGCGTATCAGCCACTCCTCCCAGCTTAGTGTCATCAGCAAACTTGCTGATAGTACACTCAATTCCCTCATCTAAATCATTGATGAATATATTAAATAATACCGGTCCCAGTACTGACCCTTGAGGCACTCCACTAGTTACAGGCCTCCAACTAGACTCAGCCCCATAGACTACAACTCTCTGGCTTCTCTCCTTCAGCCAGTTCGCAGTCCACCTCACTACCTGATCATCCAGTCCACACTTCCTCATTTTAGCCGCGAGGATGCTGTGGGAGACTGTGTCAAATGCTTTGCTGAGGTCAAGGCAGACCACATCCACCGCTCTGCCATCATCCATCCACCGTGTTATTTCCTCCTAAAAGGCTAAGAGATTGGTCAAACATGATTTCCCCCTGGTGAAGCCATGTTGACTGCCCCTCATAACCTTCTTATCCTGGATATGCCTTAAGATGGTACCAAGGATAAGGTGTTCCATCACTTTCCCAGGGATGGAGGTGAGGCTGACCGGTCTGTAGTTACCCGGGTCCTCCTTCTTGCCCTTTTTGAAGACTGGAGTGACATTTGCTTTCCTCCAGTCCTCAGGCACCTCTCCCATTTC